GCATCAGGGACTTCTCTAGCTTTATCCAACAAAAATGTTCGTCACACGTCACAGACGGCAACATCACCCAAAGATTGCGCGCCACCTTGAGGTGTACCCTGATCTCCACGATTCCAAGCACCAAACACCAAATTCGTGTCAAGTGTTGGAGTCATTGGAGTCAGGCGCCTTCAACGCCCCAGTGTACGTGAATAAGAATGCTGCTTTAGCTGATACACGACTATTAAGCTGATCGATCGCATCGGTGAACCGCGTGCTACATGAATTGTGAGAAGCTCTGATAATGCAGTCAAGCCGGTTGATGCTCACGAACGGATGCTTCGCAGTACGCCCGCTGAGAAAAATGTTTGATACATTGGTAGAATTCAGTTTGCTTGGTTATGCGGCAACCCGAATGGCATGCTTTTATATCAGTCGCGAAATGCATACCTTCCGATATCGGCTACTTCGGTTGAGATACCGGTAGGATGGCATTCAGCCCAAAAAAACATCAAAAAGACAATGGGTTTTTTTTGGGCTGAATAGCATCCAACGGCAATAAGTGTAAATTCTGGGGACACAGAATTTGGCCGTTTCAGATGTGCTACTTTTTATTGTTACTTTTGTGTTTAAAACAGGTTTTTTTATAGTTTCAGTTCTTGACCTCGCACTGCTGTATAATCTCTGTATGTCTACAATGAAGATTTCTCTAAATAGGCGTGGGGATGCGCAGCTTGAAAACCTCATGGTAAGGCTGAGCAACTCAGCCAAGTTTTGCTTGGAGGGTATCAAGCATTCTTCTGAATCAAGAGCTCTAATCATCGCCGCGAGTCGTGTTGACGTGAATGGAATGATGGGTAATGCTAAGGGGGGGTACGCTGATCGGTAAGACTGCCATTGCAGCTACCAGTAAGTTACTTGATACATTTACTGCTACTGGTGATAGCACAAATGGCGATGGGGGGGAGGGGGGTCGGCCTAGTATTTGCCTTCTTCTAATAGGTCGGTCACCTTGATGCTGTGGAGTGTCAATCGAATTTGGAGTCACCCTACTGTGGTTTCATGCCGATGCTATTTGGAGAACTGTGTGAGAAAGGTCTGCCAAGGCAAAAACTTCCCTACGCTGGTAGTGGTGCGCTTCTGTTGGTGAGGAATACTAGCTGTTGTCGATCAACATGTCCCTCACGCAGCAGAAATGCGTCGGAGTTCAGCGAATGTGGCTACTGTTTGCTTGGGCAATGGTGATCTCCTCGACGAGTGTGCAAGCCGCGCAGACCAACGTGTCGAGCATTTGTTCGCCGTCCGACCCGGTGCCGCTCGTCGTGAAAGGGGCTATCACGTATATCTGCGTCAATGTGAACAATAAATACCGTACGCTCTTCACTCCCGTCGCCGACAAGTTCACCGTACTGCGCATCAGCGACTGTGAGTTTGTAGCATTTTGATCTGTACGGCAAAGTTGATTCTCTAACTGCGCTGGTATCGATTTACATTTTGTTGCAGCCTGGAATGATACTCGTATAGGTGCCAACCCCTCGAGTGCATTCCTCACCGTGTCGAGTCTCAAATACCGCACAAACTACAAGCTCTACTCATCAGCCGCGACTGGCCGCATCTCTCCGTACATGACCGCTATCATTTCAGTGAAAAAGGGCGTCGTACAAGGCGTGAGCTGGGATGAAGGTTGCTACTTTTGCACTGCGGAAATGTGCGACTATAATCTGTTCTCAAAGCCTGAGGAAACAACCTCGGCGCGGCTCAGCGGTCAAGGCAAAACATGCTACACTCCAGTCGATAGCTGCACCGGCACATCCTCCAATTCATCGGATGCAAGCATTGATGTTGGGGATGGCGGCACTGCTGGCTCGAACGCCACTAGTACCACTACCAACACGACAGCGCAATGCGATATTACGATCTACGTCGGCTGGACGGGCACAGACAAGAATGGAGAATACCTTGGCAGTGCGTCGCTACGGATGTCCCAGTTCTCAAAGTACTCAATCGGCTCTTTCTTTTCGAATATTGGTGCGAGTCTGTCCAAGTTGGCTCCTACTAGCCGCAGCGATGATTCAAGCTAGAGAATACAATTAAGACCTCAGCATTTGTTTTTGTTCATGTTGTATCGAGTATGAAGTGCACACTTTCATTGTGCGTGCTTGTTCTATAAGGCACAATGCACCTCGCGTTCAAATTGAGAACGTAAATGTCTAGCGATAGTCGTGGATCTGACGGTCGGAGTTGTCCTCCTCCAGCACAGCGTCCAGATTGTCCCACCAGTGCGGCAGCAAGTTTGAACCGATGAGATGGAACCACGGCGAGAGCTTGCGCGTAGAGTCATTGAGAAGTGCAGGCAGGTTTTCACGAGCAACGAACTCGATCTGCTCTACTTCGTTCTTGTTGACGTTGTCCAGTGGCACCTCGCCACGCGCAAAGAGAATGTGATCCATCTCGTACTCCGTCCAGTTAGCGTCGGATGCAGCCTGCGATTGACAGCAGCGTGAGTGTTTTGCACCTTTACTACAGCAGTGTGACCAAATCGTTGCAGCAGCCTACCTTGTACATGACCGTCGAGACGTAGGCCAAGTCGTCGATTGCAAAGGTGGAGGCAGGGATGCCGAGCTCGTGCTCCAGCTTGCGGATGGCGGCACGCTTCACACCGACGCCGTCTTCCAGCTCACCTTCGGTGAAGAGCGGATGGCTGCAATGTCAAATGTCAAGCACAGCAGGTTAATATTCGCTTCAGTCTACACACGCCATGTAACAGCACTTTACCTGCAGCAAGTATTGGCCCAGAAGCTCGGGAATGTGATCTTCTCGCTCGCACGCTTCTGGATTAGCAGCTCGTTCTTGGAGTTGAAGACAAAGACACTGAACGCGCGGTGCAACACACCGTCATGGATGTGCGCTGTCCAGATAAATGCAACATACTCAGTTAGCCTATCACTGTGGCGTTGCTACGGCAGCAACTGCGACCGCAAGCTCTACCGTCTTTCTTGCTGATGGGGCCCACCACGTTGTCCTGCTCGTCCACCTGAACGATCTGTTCCTTCATGAACTGGAGTTGTTCGGCGTCGGCGCCAGCCGTGAGCTCCTCGAACGTCACGCGGCCCGCCGAGCTGAAGGCTGCCGCACTGTTACGCACCGCCGCTCCCATCAAGGCTCCACCCGCACGCACATTCGCCAGTACCATGTTGTCAGTGTTTGCTTCGATTGACAACTGAGGCTAAGAAGTTAGGTACCTCCGGAACAAAGTTTTTCAACCAACCAACAGCGTTTCTGAGGATATAGCAGCGATACGATGGGGCAAGCTCAGCCATGGCCAAGGAGTCTCGATAGGTATATTATAGAGCTTTATGCAGGACGCCAGCCTCTGCCCCACGTCCGAGCGACGAAGAGGAGGCCCAGCTACGGTGTAACTACCTGGTACCAGTCTAGCTTTGCTGATGCGCTAGTGATTGAGCGTCATGCAAAGGGAAATTGGGCTTCTAAGTCCATCTGCTCGACCTACAGCGCGACCAGCACTTGGCGCGGCAATCTACTTGTCCTTCGCCTTGTCAGTCGGCGGTGCTTCTTCGTCTGGTTCTTTGCGCTCTAACGCCTCCTTGGCTCGGAAAATTTTAGACTGTAGATAGAAGGAGCCACCTTTGGCCGGGTCATTCGCCTCGAAGTACCTTGTGAATTGCTTTTGGATCTCCTCCGAAGACGGCGCGGGGCCGGTCGTAGGGAAGTTGAGAATCTCGCGTGCCTGCTGCTTGGGCATTTGGTTCTTGCGCACCACAGTCTTGGCCGCCATAGCTCCAGCGTTGCCCGACCGCGCGTTGTGAACGGCCTGCTGGTAGGCCTGCACGAAGGCCTTGGACACAATACCCGCGCCCATGACCACGACCTGCGCGATGATTCTGCCTAGAGGTCCCGACATGTCCGCTTACACGCTGCTTACTGTTGTCACTGCCACTGCTTCCTGTGCGGAGTCTCTTTTTGCTTCGATGTCTGTCCTCTGGTTCAGATGAATCAACAGATCGCACTTTAGCGAAGACAGTCGATAAGTACCGTGATAATTGTATTTAGTGCAAGTTGAAGCTGGCAGGCAGGTCGCCAAGCATGGCGTCTAGGAACTCGGACAGCGTCAGCTTGCGCAGGAGCTGCTGCTCCTCGTTCTCGCCGTCCAACACAGACCACAACTTCGCCGTAAGGTGCTCCGTGCCCCCAATGCGCTGCAGTTCCGCCGTGATCTCGTCCGCTATGCACAAATCGACACGTCATTTTCAGTTGATGACCAACAAAAAGATCGCTTTGACATGCTACATGTACTGCTGCGGGAAGGCAAATGGTCGCTAACCTGAGACGGTCTGACTACTGTCTGTGTCACAGAGTAGGAACTGGATGAGATAGTAAAGCTGGTTGAGCTCGAGCCCGTGCGAATCCAGTAGTGTGCGAACGTAGCAACCCTTGAACTCTTCCCAGCTCACGCTGCCGTCCAAGTCGTCGTCCACCTCCCAGATCATCCACTGCGCTTCACCCTGCAAATAGTGGCACCGGTAGCAGCGTCAAGCAACGGCAGTAATGATGTCGATCATCGTTTCCCAAGCTTACCTTCGAGGGCACTCGATTCAAGCTCCGCATACAAGAGCTCAAGTCCGCAGCGGTGATAACCCCGGATGTATCACTGTTGCTCGTGTTGACCCCCTTTTGCAGCTCCTTGATCTCGCTGCGGAGATCATGCATGTCGCTGGTTTTCGCGGAGACTGCCGTCGCATTGCGGCTACCAGCGCCCCCGTTCTTGCTCCTAGTGCCGCTCACGACTTTCGCTGACCCGTCTGGTTCCTCGCTGGCGGCGAGCAGGTTCAGCTCTGAGAGCAGATCCGTCTTGTCCGGCATCACCTCGGTCGGCGAAGCTTGCTGCAGCTCTTCGTCGGCAAAGCCGTCGTCCGCGCGCTGCGATGCCACCGGCGGTGGGACTCGCCACGCATTGAGCTCGGCCGTCTTCCTCGCGATGCGGGTCTTGCGGTCGTGCTGTCGCAGGAAGCAGAACACCCGCAGCAACTTGGCGGCGCTGTCGGGCGGCAGTACCTGCGCCGCCAGCTCGTCCATCGTAGCGCTTTTTTTTTGGTGACGACAGCGGTGACACGGCGGGGACGGCCCCAAAGAAACCGATCTTAGTCGAGCCGATTTTTGCATTGCCAATCTGGATCGGATACGGTACGTTGATCTCCACATTTCCTTCGCAGGTCATTGCCGCTCGCAAACTTGCAACTGGCGCTGGAAGTCTACGACGGGTTTTATCTCACGACCTCGGTATCACAGCGCGGTGAAAGCTCGTTTCAACTATTAAAAAAATAGCAAGTGAAAGGATCTACAGTGAATGCTATTGGTGTCGTAGATGTCTGCCACTAGCAGACTGCTACACCAGAGAAGGCTGGCATCACCTTTGGCCCCAAAACGTCTCCACCTTCGACAGGCATACTCAAAAAGTTTTGAGTCAAAACGTCTCTTGCGCGAGAGAAGGGCCTTGCTTGCGCCGCTCATTCCTGGAAGCTGCACCAGAACGTTGCCCTCGGCTCATCTCCTCGAGTAAATGGAAACGTAGTCCAGCAGATTTTCTCGCCAAGATTCTAGTTTTTGGGCCCAAGTCATCTATTTTACAAGACAAGAAAGTAGCTGGCGGTTGTAAGCTACTCCCACCGCCCTTGGGCCCACGAAATCTTCGCCGTCGCGGCGGGTTCTCGCTTGGCTAACAAATCTTGAGCGTCCTTGAGCGTGCACTCGTGTGGCACATGTCTCCTCCCAAGTGGGTTCGCTCATCTGATACCCAGATACTTTACCTGCCATATTATCAAATACGCTGTGCAATTCGATCGGGCATTTGAAGATTTTGGTTCTTTTTACCTCTATAAGTTATTCACCTTCCCAAAGCAAAGTGAGATCGGTAAAGTTATCGAGTAGAACTCGTACTACTATCAGATACCACGACTTCAAAAAAAAGTCGCCAAAATGCCTTCAGATGATCCGGGTGTTTCCCTCCGATGGAACACTACGGCATTTGCTTGGAAACTGCATCGGTGCCAAGCTGAGGTCACTTGAGGGGAGGGACAATTCCCGTGTCCGTGGACTAAGAAAAGAGAGCCCGGTAACGGAACTTCATCTGCCAACGTCTTAAGCCAGGGGGAGAACGAGAACGCCCACCCGATCCATTTTCTGATAGGAGCACAACGACGCCCATGGTCTTCACCGAGATCTCGGCGCTGGTCCACTCTCAATGGCAGCTTCTGCGCAGCGCATTCGACGCTGAGGGCCACGACCGCCGCGTGCAGCAGCGGTTGGAAAAGAAGCAGGCCAAGCAACAGCGCAAGGCGGCGCGCCGCGCGGCGCGGGAGGCCCGTCGCGCACAGCGGAAGCAGCGACACACTCTTCTCTCTCCGACAGTAGTCGGCGAGCACACGGATGACGAGCCGGAAACTAGCAGTAGCAATAAACCCACGACGACTGTCCCGAGCGGCCTGGCCTGGGCTCGCACCGCCGAGGCCCTTACCGATGTCGCCGACGCAAATGATAGCGCTGGTTTTTACAAAAGTGAGCCAAGTGGGGGGCGACGGGACGAGTCCCGATCCCTGCAGGACGCAAGTCCAGAATATGTCGCCGCCGGCGCCGTCTATAAGAAGCCCATGGTGGCAGAAGCGACCTCCTTGTCGGTCGCGAAAGCAGTCGTCAACGCTCCGCAGCTCCCTATGGAGCTTGCACTTGAGATCGAGGCCCAACTGGCGCAGAAGCAACGTGAGTTTTACGACTCTTTGGGCGGCTACAGTACTGTGGACGAGGAAGAGGACGAACTGAACGAGTTGCTGGCGCGCGGTCGACGAGCTAGTGACGCCAAGCTACCGTCAAAGTGGACAGTCGTAGGCATCAAGAAGGCAGTGGCTCTAGCACAAACAGCGGAGAAGGGGGTCTTCTTCAAGCTGCCTGAGGCAGCGGAGCAGGAGAAGAGCAACGGTACGAGCACGGATGTGTCCCCGGCATCTTCAACTTCATCGTCGAAGAAACCCAGACCAAAGTCGCTTTCAAGCTCGTCTGAGCTGGTGGAGACAGAGCCCGAGGACGACGAGGTGGATCTACACAACAGTGAAGAGTTCGACGGGTACAGCACTTTCGACGAGGAGGAGGAGTCACGCGACCTGTTTATCGCTGACCACGAGTTCGAAGGCCTCTGCGCGCCGCAGAGTTCGTCTCCTGCTGTTGTAGATCAGACTAGTGTGGAGGCGACGATTGAAGTTCTTGAAATCAAGATTGATCCCAATTGGAGTGAAGTGAAGCCCGAGCTAGAGATCGAGGACAAAGCTGAAGTCGTCGTTGACATTGACAAGCTCATCGAACTTGATCTGAACGGCAAAACGTCGCTGGATATGTCTACTGCGCTGGAAGAATTTGAGACAAAGCAGCCACCATCGAGTGAAGAAGTGTTGGAGGCCGCGCTCGTTAACCAATCTCAAGAGGAACCGGTCGAGACTGACACTGAACAGGAGATGGAGGTGTTCGAAGAGTTGAAAGAGGTGACGGAAGTGGAGGTGAAGATGAAAGAGGAGGTTGACACTGTAGAGGCGGTCAGGAAGGAGGAAATTATTGAAGAGTTTGTGGAACTACAACCGGAACAAGAAGACACAACTTCTCGGACCTTAGTGAGCACGCGCATTACCGCTCCCGGGATTTATTCTCCTGGAACGGTGGACGAGTACGCTTGCTCTATCTACGAAAGCCTTCGGGCGCGAGAACACCGATACCACGTTACAGAAGACATTTTTGCCAAACAGCACAGCGTGAGCCCCAAGATGCGTGCAGTCCTTGTGGATTGGCTTGTTGAAGTACACCAGCGTTTTGAACTGGAAGCACCGACACTTTTCCTGACGGTTAATTACATCGACCGATACCTGGCACAGACACCTGTGAAGTCACAGAGATTTCAACTTGTGGGAGTCGCAGCATTGCTAATCGCTTCAAAGTTTGAGGAAATCTACCCGTGTGATATGGACGATCTGCTGTACATCTGCGAGCGATCATACGTCAAGGCTGACCTGGTGAACTGTGAGCGGGACCTGCTCAACGTGTTTAAGTTCAATTTGGCTGTGCCGAGTGTCAGTAGCTTCCTGGGCTACTACCTGGAGTATTTTGAGGAGGACGACGAGCTCATCAGTCAACTCGCCAGTTACTTCGCGGAGTGCTCGCTGCTCGACTTTACCTTCGGAGCCACATACGACGCCTCGGTCATTGCTTGCGCGTGCTTGCTCGCAGCTTACTGCTACGTCGAGAACCAGGCGCCTTGTCTTGTTTGGAACTCTCGCCTCGTAGAGCTCACTGGTTACACTGTGGACGTGATCGTCCCGTGTGCACAAGATCTGTGGTCACTTTTGACTCAACCCAGCGAGCTGGCTGCCGTCGCGACGAAATACAGCACCAAAGAGTTCGGTGAAGTCGCTCATTTGCCGCTGGAAGATCTGGAGATGCTGTTGTGTTGACTGCATCGCGACCAGAGGCAGCTTAATAGATATTGTACATACGACTGCCCTGCATCAAGGCTAGACTCAAGTATTGTTTTCGAACTAATAAATCCTCATGAACCTATTATCATTCGGCCAATTCGTTAAACATCGACAAGCAGCGTAGCATAAACAGAAGAAGTGAGAATCAGTTCCATTTAGTCGACAATCACCACGCTTGCTGCTCTCGTTTCCAAAAGCGTCTTCAGGAAGCCCATCAGCACGTATCCAAGAAGCCAAACAAACGTAACAGGTGCCACAGCTTGTCAATTTGCGAATCCATGCTAAAACCCGTTGCTTGCCGCCTCACCAAAGAGTTCATCGATGACTTCGTAGTTGATTCTTCGGCTTTTTAATTTCTGTCCAACGGGAAAAGTGCGAGGTCAGCCACGTTTATGAGGAAAAATAGAGTGGGGTGGTCATGCTCACATAGATTGCGTGTTGCGCCGTATCTGGGGGTGGCGCGTTCACATCCGGGGTTTTCTTTCTTCTCTTTTTCTTCGGGGCATCAGGCGCTGACAAGCCAAGTAGTCGTTTTTGCTCCTGTCATGAAGCAGCAATATTAGCATATCGGCAATGGAGCTACACACGAGCGTCAACAATTCAGATGTACCTGTTCTTGGATGAAATCCTTGTTCATCTTCTCCCACAGCAATTTCTTCTTCTCGGCCTCCTCTCGTGTCAGCAATAATGAGTTGATTTCATCATCATCCAAGTCCGAGAGCGTGTCTACAACTTCCTTCTTGGGTTCTCCTTTCTCAGCGTCGTCCTTCTTCTCAGCCACCTTATCTTCGTCTTCTGGGTCTTCTGCATCTTCTTCTTGTTCATGAATATCGCCATCTGACCTTGATCTTCTCCTCTTTTCACTACTACTATCGGCTAAGTCTCGTGACCTTCGTCTTCTTATTACCGTAGACACGGCTTCATCGTCAGCTGATGTTGTAGGGCTAGTGCTGTGTTCTGTTTCACCGTTAACATCATCGTCGTGCTCCTTTTCTCCATTTCGCTTAACTCGTGCTGATGTATCCTCCTCAAGCGCCATGGTCAGGTCTCGCTCGATTGTCTTGTAGAAACTAGCCTCCTCACGCTTGCGCATAATGTAGCGAGCCGATTTCTTGCGCACACGTAGCAGAACTTCCTGAGCCGCTAAGCGACTAGCACGGTTCACAATCTGATCATTGGCATTGTCAAATCCATAGTCAATGTCTTCGTCATCATCGTTGTCATCATCGCCTTTGTCCGCAACGGCACCGCCGTTACTTCCAAGGAGCGCTTCGGCCTGCTTCTTCTTGTAATACGCATCCCCACTTAAGAAACGCGACATCTCCTCGTCCTTCAAGCGCTGCACTTTCTTGTTCAACATACCCTTAGCCAATGCACCGCCACTCTCGTCATCATCACTCTCATCATCAGAGTCTCTCCTTCCTCTTGTTAGTCGCTTACGTCCTTTCTGTTCCAGTGGCAATTTCTCCGATTCAAGCAGCAACATTTCCATGACTTCCTTCTCACGGTGACGCTGGAAACTAGGCGGATCACACTCCACACGCGACATCTCGAGTTTACCTACTTGATCGTAAGTTAACTGCGCCGTTGGGGTTAGAGAGAACTCATACAGTCGCTGCTTGAGCGTGCGTTCTCCAATGTTGACGACATCCATAACGTCGTGCAGACTGCACATAACCGACTGTGAACGTGCCGCAATAAGCAACGCTGCACCGCAGATGCCCGAAGGACGGCGACCTGTTTCAATCCAATCGCGCTTCATAGTGGCCACAAGACGCAGCGCTGTGGTAGCGATGCTGTGAGTCTTGCCTGCAAAATTCAGCTGCGAAGCGAAGCGGTGGATGTAGAGCGATGGGTCAATGAGTGGCAAGTGAATCTGTAGCAGCTTGCAGAACTTAAGGAAGACACCACCCAACACGTAGACGTTGATCTGTAGCTTGTCAGAGAAATCGATAAGCAGGTGCGGTGAGCGTTCTCTCCTGCAGACGATGTAGAGACAGGCAGCGATAACCGTCTGCGTCTTGCGGCCGTGCGTGAAGTTGCGTTGCAATGCCAACGCGAAGAGGCGGAAGGCCGAGTCCACATAATGGTCTCCCAAGCGCAGCATTCCTGCAATCTGGCGAATTTTCTTCTTGCCGTTGGCCAGAGTGTTAGCACGTGACTCGATTCCGTAGTTGCGCCCGCTGGTTCCAATGTTGCCATACGCCTTGGACGCTGTGGCCGACACAAACTGCCCGACGACTGAGTGCGCGCCGCCACCAGACTCCTGAAACTCGATAGACGATACGATGTTGTTCTCCTCGAGAATGGTACCACAGCTCACACACACGGCCTCACCGCTCACATCCACCACATCGATCTCCGTGCAGGAGCACGTAGGGCAGATGGTGCTGGCCATGGCGGGGGTCGCGTATTGTCAAGGACCAAGTTGGTGGTGAACAACCTATTCCGGCACTCCTGCAGCAATATTCAACCTGACTTGAGCTTTGTATGCAGCTTATCGCACCCCTAAATACCAGTCAAAAAGTCGCGTGGTGTACATCAAAATACTACCCACCAAATTAACTAATCTATTTTGACAGGAAGTAGATAATGTTGTACGACGGTCCCCCTAGGCCAACACAACTTGAGGTCGAGAAGCCAAGCTGCCGATAGCGTAGCAACAGGAGCCACCGCCGCCCGACCCGAGTGCCCGAGTGATCAACGCAGCCATGGCCACGCCCGACTTCCGTACGCCCAACCAGGAGATGCCGCCGCCGGGCGGCTTCAAGCCCGTCAAGTTCGTCAAGAACGGCCCCGCAACGCGCGGACCACCGGGATGGTCGCTCTTCCTCGGTACGTTCCTCGTCACGTCCGTGGGCTACTACATGGTGGGCCAGCACAACAAGCACCACCGCGAAGTGGCCAAGGAGGAGCGCGAGAACCGTATTGCGCTGCTACCGTTCCTGCAGGCGGAGGCGGATGTCGAGTACCTGGAACAAGAGAAGCACATTTTGGAGAAGGAGCGCCAGGTCATGAAGAACGTGCCTGGCTGGGTGGCCGGGCAGTCGCCGTACCACTCGGACCGCTACCAGGCACCGCTTTGGGCCCAGAAGAAATGAACAGAGAAGGACAGATGGATGGGGAGCAGGAAGCTAATACACCATCGAGTGAGCGAACTGTAACAAGACCATGTCAAGGAAATGCACTCGTGTGTTCGTCCGCTCGAGGTCAACTCTTTCCTCTGAGTTGGTGAAAATTTAATGCCATGAATATCGTCGCTGCTGCTCTTTTCAATGTTTGGATGTGCGGTAAGAGGTTTCTTGCTTTCGATCCCTTATCGGTGAGAGCGGTACAAGCTCTCTATTCTAGCTTCGAACGAAATAACTGCAGTTACTTGTATCTGTCAGCAGCAGCCACTGCGGATAGCTAGCATCATCCGATTTAAAGCCCTTCGTCCATCTCGTCCTCAATTTCCTTGGCGAGCTCCTCCTCTTGCTTTTCGCGTTCGAGACGCTCTTCGGCGCTCTCAAGGTCTTTCTTGTAGGCATCCGGTGGATAACGCATAGCCTTGACAGCTTCGTTGTGCACGTCTAGACAGAACGTGATACGCCTCTGGAAAGCCGTCTGCGGGTCGTTAGTCGTGTACACGTTGACAGTCTCCTTCAGCTGCAGCCAGCCGTTCTCATGGTCGATCACGGCGTCAATCACGCCGTCCCGAATCGCCTTGGCGCACACGAACTCGGCGTTCTGTGCGTTCTCCAGCGCGAGCTTCTCGCAGATGTCTGTGAACAGGATCCGCGAGTACGAAGTGCTGATCTTGCGCAGACCCGTCTTGATGACGTTGTGGCGCAAGCTGAGCAAAATAACAAAGTGCACATTAGTTAGCAAGAGATCTCCGCACACACACGTCTCTGAGCAAAGCTCGTCCTGCTTACCGAAGGATCAGCGTGTAAGTATTGTCGGCCTTGAAGACCGCTCCATGTTGCGATAAAACCACGTTAAAGTCTTCCAGGTTACCCACACGGACGGCCTGATCACATTAAAAAAAAAAGACAACACAAATTAAATGGCGTCCACAAGCCCATATCGTTCAGCACACCTACATTCGTGAGTTGCAGGTACGGTGCCAGAGCCTTGCGGAGCTCGTCCTGGTTGAACACATTGCGCTCAGGCACCTCGCCCATGAGCAACTGCACAATAATTGCGAGCTTGTACACTGTGCGCCGGAAGCCGAATGCCGTGTTAGCTGGGGCCTTGCGGATGGACTGCATCAGTTTCGTGTACGACTCAGTGTACTCGAGCTGCACGGCTTGGATCTTGCCCACGTAATAGAGATAGCGCACAAACTGGTTGTTCGACACTGACTCGGGGAACGTCGTCTTGCTAACGAACTTATAGGCCTGTTCGTACATGTTGTCCTTCAGGTAGTTGCGCAGCAGCAGGCTGATCAGTGTGGCCTGGCCAGCCTCGTCATAACGCAGACATGCCGTGCGGTGGGCGCTCAGCAGAGTGTTACGGATAGCGGGTAGGTCGTGGCCGAACTGTTCGTGGATATTGGAGTAGTACGTGAACACTTTGGCCTGGAACAAGTCCAGTGTGCGGCGATTGAACTGCTGGCAGCGAGCCACCACTTTGTCCACCGTTTCCAGCGCCTCCTGGTTCAACTTGTACTTCATCAGAGCTGCAAGAACGTACAAGAACAAATAGATCTCCACTTCAATGAGGTCCACCACAGGTAGCACCACAGTGGCCGGAGTTGAAGTACCAGCCTCCACCTCGGACGACGATGCGTCCGTCATCTCCACATCCTGGTCCTTGGATGCGGAGGCCTGAGCCTCATTAACAGCAGCTTGAGCCTTGTTCTCGATCTTGGCCAGCAACGCCAGCAACACGGGCTTGGACACGTTCTGGGAGGGTAGCAGTTGCTCCACTGCCTGCTGTAGCTGCGCCACGGAAAGAGTCTTGCGCAGCTTGCTGGTGGTACGGAGGATGCGTGGGATTTTCTCCTTGGCGTTGGTTTTGACCACCGTTTCGAGTAGAGTGATGGTCCGCTTCAGTTCTGCATGCAAAGAGTAAGTTAATGAGCGTCTGTGAGGGGAAAGATCGCGCTATCAGCCTTTCGATTTCTCGAGGGATTCAGCGCCCGTTTACCTTCGTAGACAAGAGCTTCTTCGGCCGCCACTTCCTTTGTGCTGGAGAGACGCACCCGATAGGATGGCGTCTGCGAGAACGTGGACTGTGCGCTCATGTCTTCGTGGGGAGGGGATCTCGTCGCTTTTCCTTTTTCCTTCCTCTGTCAAAGATTGCGATGCTGAGCGCGATTGTGGATAAACCTGTTGACCAATCGTTGCGCGGCGTTATTATGGTAAAGAGTTAACCCTTTTTAAGACCTTTATCCTTTCTATTATTCAAAATACTCAGATTTCTGATAATTCTAGTTGTGATCACTTATTGTGGTTGTGGTCGAAGTTGCGAGATGGGTTGATTGAACCGACCGAGCGATGTAGAACCAATAACCCGATCCAAAGAGTTACCGTTTTTGGTACCGTTCACTTTTCTAGCTGTTAGAGGGCCGAATAAACCTTTAACAGATATCATGTACAGATTTGATTGGATAAACATATTTTTTTTGCAGATGGATGGGCAGTCTTGAGGATGTCCTAGCAGGGCCGCTCAGACCTGTAAAGGTTGCAGATCACTTCAACTTTCTAATGATTGTGTAATGATTGTTTAGGTTTTGGTAAGGATTAGTTGAGCTACACTAATAATCAGTGATCCATAAAACATCACAAAACACCAGGATTTGTTGGAATAACATGGTCCCGGTAACCGATACCGATGAAAGCCAAGAGGAGGACAACCGCTCTCAACATCACGACGCCAATATTGCTGCAGTAGCGATGACCTCTAAGAAGCAACTGTTCGACACGGCGGCGTCGGACGCTGCAGGCAACACGCCGACGTTCCGGTCGATCGAAACGGCCGACGATCGAGCAGAACCATAGCATAGGCTATGGTCCAAAGCAGTTTGGTGAAGCCGCTACAGCCGTGAGTGAGGCTGTATGTCGTGGATATCGACGAGTTGGCGGAGGGGGTGGACATGTGGGTGGTGAAGAGGGGTGGCAGCTGTGACGGTAGTGGTGGGGACGCTTGCGGTTGCTTAGGCGACAGCATTGAATGCTACCGATAATATGTAGCCAGAATATGCGTTTCGCTTTTAGCCGTGATGCTTTCCACCTGTATATCATGATGGCTTCGTTGTTTTTGTCCGCCGTTGCAACCTCTTATAACACACTGCTCTGTCGTCAACGCAGCACACAATCGTCGTTTAGATTTTTGTAATGTTTGAGGCGCATCAGGCACTATTACGATTTGTTTCCCCAGTGCAAATGCACTAATCATCGATAGATCCAGGAGCCATGTGAATAATAGAAGTTTACCTTCCGCCGCGTAGGATTGTTGAACGGAGCCGGCCCATTCGATCGACGCCGTTCATGTCAATATTGTAGGTCGCCACAATGACTGGTGCCATAAACGTTTTCGGTGCATAACTTCGTTCTCAGTCCACCAGCATATCGGGTACAAACCGTGACAGCACTCAATAGCTTAACCGGAGTCCCCATCCAAAACCCTGGCACTTGGAGTAGAAGATAGATCGTTGGTATAAATAATTACTGGCTCCTTGGTGCAGAGCAAAATAAATCCAGCATGATAGGAAAAACTGGTCGGGTGGTGCGTATTGCGTGCGAAGACTAAGCGGGAGTTTCTTCTGTGCTCGAGTATGAGCATTCCTCGCTTACTTTGAGTCCTCTTGGCTATCCACCGCAGCAACAAGCTCCCAGCTTCCTCGCTGTATGGATTTTATACGGCTTACAGAATCAAATACAGCACGTTCCTTTAAACGACCACCCATCCTTGCCGAACGGTTCCCAACATGCTAACCACCGTCAGCTAACGCAAGTACCGCTGTTGCTAGTTTGTGTCGTATGTAAATATTGTCACTCACAATCAGGTGCCTACCTGACACGGAACGAAATAACCTCTTTTGGTGCCCGACCGTAGCCGTTCATAATGCGGCAGCAGTATCTGATTTAATATTGACATAATATCTTGAGATAGTCACTTGAACTGGATGTCACATTGTTGGAAAAAGCTGTGTATACCTTTGAACCGCAGTTGTAGACATTGTATTTCCAGAACCGTTGTCTCACAACGAATGTACATACAGTGGCTGCCAGTCAACAACTACATAAAATCTCACCGCAAATTGTCTGGCATCAACGGCAGATATGATTTCGCCAACGGGCGAGCTTCAGTCCAGATCCCTATTTATCTACGTTGCTGATCCCTCCAGGAACAGCGAGGGATGCAAATTTTTGTTAGAAGTGCTGCAGTAGGAGCGCGTTGTGGCGTAGAGGGTCTTGTTTTGCTGAATCCTTCTCGCTCCCAACTGCATACGCTTGGTTTTCTGGGTCGTCGTCCTTGTCTTCCGATGTAAGCGTCCAACTCAGCTGCTGTGATGGGAGGTTCGCATTTCCCTGTGAGAACTTCGTTTGTTCAAACTCTCCAGGCCTTGTTTTGCTTCTCGGTTACAAATAGTCCGAATAGCACTCGTTCGGCGTGACGCGCATACGCATCTTGAGTTTTTTTTGCGGTCGCAGGTGGGGCCCACTTTCACTTGTCAAGTTATCAATATAAGCGCGAGCTGCATCCGTAGGAGACTATGCTTCGTCTTCCCTCGATCCCACGAGGTCTTATTTTCATTCCTTGGGGTCCAATGTCCCACCAAATGAGCTATCTCCATCCTTGGAAATTTCGAGTGACATATGTGGTTGTGCATTGGGCTGATCCACAATATATAACCAATAGAACTTTAGTATTTACTTATTGCCACCGCACGCCAACTCAAACATGCTGGTGTGTACACGGTAGCTACGGTGAAGCCGATCTTCGGCCGTATCAGCTGACCGGATGGGGGGGAGGGGGGAGGGGAGGCATGGTCTCTGCAGCCGTGTCGACAGCTCTCAGTAAATGACAGCCACCTCTGCTATCACCACCAAAACCTGTATCAGCATCATAGGCTGTTATGTTGTCCGCCGCCGCCGCCCACCTCCAACTGCTTGTGTTTGTTCGTTTTTGCTGCAGCAAGCCAATCGTCAGTCGTATCTGAGGGCTGGGCCGTGCATAACCTCTGCGACATCAGACTCAGTCATGTTGACACCATGTAGCAAGCTCTCTATTGTAACTGCCTCCGCTATCACCGTCGTTGCATCTCGCAGCATCATGTTTATCCCAACTGTTCACGCTTTGTTAATACCGTCACATCTTCAGCTGGAAGCAAGCTCACCACTGTAGCCAGTCCCGCTGTCGTCCAACAATCAATTTACTCCGCCGCTGTGTCGTGCTCCACGGCGTACTTCTGACGTGCAATCGGCAACACTGCTATGATATTGTTTAGCTGCAGTCGAGCTGGTCGTCGACAGGCTCGGAAGCATTGGAATGATATCCGCAGCGTCTAACGCTGTTGCGCCAGCAGCCGCATGCCGCTATAGCCACTGCTACCATTGCCTTCGCGGCAAACAATTCCATCTCCTTTGATAATGTTTCATGATCCGCAGCATACACATCTGTATACGGCGGCTGCTCCTTTGATGGCGTTCATGTATGCTCGCCTGCTGTCGAGCCGATCATCGCGCGGTCGACATGCTATTTTTGCATTTTTTTGTTTTCGAAAAGCTTTATCATATTAGTGTAATACCTTGCTACATTCCCCATTTCGAATGGAGAAGCAACGTGAGGAACGCTGCAGCTTGGATTATTATCCCTTCCGAGAGGAGAACAAACGGCGTCGAAGCGAGGCTTTCGATGATCAAAAGGGCAAAGCCAATTAGAGGCACAGCGCCGAGATGGTCCGGGATTTGATGGCTATTGAGGAGCGTCAGATTCAGTATTCGAGCACACACGAAACACACGACCTCGAGAAAGCGCTGGAGCGAGAGCGTCAAAATATCGAAAGGGAAGCGTTGTCGAAAGTACTCGAAACAGTACAGCGCTTATTAAATATCACGCAAGCAAGTCTTTCCAGCACAACGTTACTGCTAGAGATGACCCGGGCAACAACATCGAGCTATAGAAGGACCTATCCGTGTATCAGTCTAAATGCGAGACGTTGCAGAACGACAAAACTAGGTTAGAGAAAGAGCTCGTTGCTTCTATTAGTCAGCTGATGGTTTCCCAAACACGTCAGGACCAGCTGTCTCAAGAGCTTGAAGCATTTCGAAATGGTTTAAGAGAGACACAGGCAGACCGGGACCGTACCGTGAGAACTACTAGAAGCAATGCGAAATGGGCTGACGGAATTACGAGAACACCGTCTCCAGATTGAGAAAAATCAGAGCGCCGCTCGGTCAAATCGTGGAGTCTCAGCAATAACTCTCCGTTTCTGAAGCTGCTCAAGTGAGCTTCGAGGAGGCGTTACAGACGTCCCAGCGCAACGAGACGGAGTTCAAAGCGTATTTGCAGACTTCAATGGGTATAAATATGGATTTCGCAGATGCTGTTACGTTTTGCGCTGATACTTGTTTGCTGATGAAGACTGCATTGATGCAGCAGAACATACTGCTATATCCGCCTGCCAAGAAGTATGTTGCACCGGCTATTATGCCATCGTCGTGGGGTACGCTGAGCGTGAAGTATTTTTCTGAGATTCGCATGAGGATGTATACCGCCAAGCTGCGAGCTGTGGGGCTAAGATCGTTCCTGGAGCTCAACCAACCATGGTGGCTACAAATGGTGATCTTGTTAGAAAAAAATTAAATGGCTTGCCAGGGCGAAAGGAATCACTGTCCTGGACAGAATTTGAAGTTCACTACGCGTAAGGAATATTTTTATCGGCGTATTTTTGTAACCCATTATCACAATGTTTTTAAATGTTAGTCTTCCATGTGAATCTTCACCGATGACGAGAGCGTGTGCTTCGACAAATATTCCAAAGATGCTTTCCTAAGCATTTTCGCCGGTATTTTCTCTTCTGAATAAAACATGTTGCCAGCTCGCATGTCGTCACTGCCACTTCAAGTCAGATTGCTAGAAAGCGCTCAGGTGGATCACACGCTGAAGAGAATAGAGGTAGAAAAGATTTTCAACAATGAAAACACACCGTAGAGTCGGCGTATCATCGATGCTGTCGATGTGATGGGAACTTAATGGAGTAAATCCTTCGATTCGGATAGAAAAAAAAATGGCGAACCCATCCAAATTACAAATTAATATTTTGAGTTGGATTTATTTGAACAACCCTGCGCAAACACGCTATATATCGGCAGTCTCACATCTCTTCTCAGCCGCATACACACCCCAATCAATCATCACAGGGACATCAGACACCAAACATCAACTCACCACACCTCACTCTCGTTGCCTCGACCACGGACCGGATACTTCGTACCAAGTCGATCCAACTAGCCCGTCCCCGCGGAAAGGCAACTATTGATGAACGACCACATATTCGGCTGCGTTATACAAACGAACAGAAGTTCGAGTGGTGGGTCACAAGAAGCTGAAAATGGACGGATATGCGAGATAAAACATAGGCCATGGGATAAGCTAGTAGGGGTGTGGTGGT